GGGGGGGGGGGGGGCTGTATCTACAAATATATTCTTCCTTTTGATACATTAAACAATATAATATACAGGGTGTTTCATTTTAAGTGATATGGTCGATTATCTCGCGAATCGATTTTATTGAAAAATTTTTCGAATGAAAGTTGCATAGCTTGAAGGGGGACACATGATGGAAATGTGGACTTGACCTTGAGTGACCTTGTCAAAATCAGGTCAAGGTCATTAATATTTTTTTAAATGCAAACCCCTATTTTTTATTATATATTCTTGTAGCTTATTTCGAGAGCTTTCCAAAACACTATAATAAAGTTACTTTTTGTTCAGTACTTGTTAAGTTATAAGGCAAGACCGACCACTGATCCGGCCAACTAAGACCGATCACTGATCCGGCCAACTAAGACCGATCACTGTGATTCGGCCGATTAAGACTCAATTCCGTGCGCGTGAGCGTACGTCAAGCAGTGTGAATTAGGGCTCGCTATTATACGTTTAAACGAAAATACGTTTACACGTATAATTAGCATATCCGTTTATTAGAATCGTTTTTCCGAATATTTTCACTTTTTTTATATAAACATTTATCCCTTTATTAAGGAGTGTGACGAATTGAGAAAATGCAAAAAATTCGATTTTTAATTTTATTAAAAATCGTTAAAATATTTAAAAAGATGTTTTTCATAGATGGATATGTTAAATATACATGTAAATGTATTTTCGTTTAAATGTATAACAAAACACGTATATTCGGAAAAATGTTTCTTTTATAAACGGATATGCTAATTAACGTGTAAATGTTTACCTTCAAGTAAACGTTTTTTTGAAAGCGAATATAAACAGATAAACGTTTTACGTTTACACGTATCTTCGAAAAACGGAATAAAATTAGAGCTCCAATGTGGATAGATCTCGGAGGTACGCGCGTAAGAATCCCGCTCACACGCGCATACATGGATAACGTCGGCGGTACTATAACTTTCAAGCTCCATAACTCGGAAAGTACTTAACAAAAAGTAACTTTATTGTAATGTTTTGGAAAGCTCTCGAGATAAGCTATAAGAATATGTAATAAAAAATAGGGGTTTCCATTTAAAAAAACAATGACCTTGATCTGATTTTGACAAGATCACTCAAGGTCAAATCCACATTTCCATCATGTGCCCCCCTTCAAACCATGCAACTTTCGTTCGAAAAATTTTTCAATAAAATTATTGATTCGCGAGATAATCGACCATATCACTTAAAATGAAACACCCCGTATATTAGTGCAATAAACAATATGCTCAATATTGTTCATAACATTCAAAATTAATAGAAATGCACTGTGGCAAAAAAATAATTATAATTTGAGAATATTATAATACAAAAGATAATTTGAAAATTATGTATGCGTTGTTCTCACTTTTTATGTATAAAAAAATATGTCCTTTATAAAATAATTAAAAACAGCGATTTTTATGTGAAATTTTGGACAAAACGCATTTTGAAAGTCTGCTCCTCAAATGTAATTATTGGTGTTTTCCAGCAAACGATACAGTGTGACAATGACATATCATTTTCGTTTAACATTAGCAAACAACAAGGATGTAACGATTCGCTGTTACATTGTGTCATCTGCTGGAAAGCATCCCATGTGATCTAATTTATGTGACTTTATTAGATTACTATATCGATATGTTACAGACTGTTTACAAAATAAATAAAAATCAAAATATATACTGCAATTGTATATATTACAGTTTTATTATAAATACAAAATGATAGTCATTTGACATCATTGTGAAAGAAAAAATTCTACGCGAGTGTCTTCACTCCGTGTTATATTTGATACAGTCTGGTTTTTCCTTTATCTTTTCGAGTAGTTTTATTTTTAATTAGATATTTAATCAGTAAATAAAATAACTAGAATATATATTCTATGGCTAGATTGATAACTGCTCAATTCATACATTACGCATACTTTTCTTTGTTCCTTCCTGGAACAAAAAAGGAATACATAAGAGGAATATACAATACATATACAAAAGAGGAATATGTATCTGTATATACAAGGTATTTGTTCATAGATGTTCGAACAAATATCTCGCGACAAAGTGCTCACATCATGCACTCAGCTACAAAGTGCATGAAAAATTTTTTTTACTCTTGGCTTTTTTAAATCATGATAGTTGTGATTTTCCATACAATTTGAAAAACAAGATTCGTCGGACTACATGTTGCAAGATATTTGATCGAATATCTATGGACAGACACTCTGTTTGTCTCCATATAGTAACAGAAACTCATTAATCATTATAAATAATATATCGAATTAATAATACTAAACTCATAAACGTTCAGCATCTTTAGAATCTTTCATTCCATGCATGCAATAAGCGTGATCTCGTAAATCATTCATGTTGGTGTATTGTTCATCGCAATATGCACATATATAAAGAACACTTTCGTGTTTAATACTTATATGTTTTTGTAATTCTTCGACAGTCTTAAACATTTTTTTGCATTTTTCGCAAAACAATCTCTAAAATAGAAGTCAGAATGGATATTGTATATTATTTAATATTTTATTATAATTTTCAATAATTGTGTGTGTGCATTGAACTATTCTTATTAAAAAGTAAAAAGTTACACTATTATATTAAAACATTACAATATTAGAGCTATATGTCCATGATTAATACAAAAGAGGAAATCTTAATTGATAGTTAACAAGTTTTCAAAGCAGAAATGAACCCATTTTATTAGGAGCAATAAGATTTCCAATCACCTTTTACACACTGATAATATTATATGAAGATATGAGAGAGATATAATATGATATATGATATGATATATGATATGATATATGATATGACATGATATAACATAATGAATATTATATGAAGAAATTTTTGCGCATAAAGAACAGCGCTATAATATAGTTACTTTTTCTCACTTCCTTTTTTTTTATTTTTAATGTTTTTTCATTAAAAAAATTTCAATATTTTATAAAAAAAATAACATTATAACTTTTTACTTTTTAGTAATAATAATTCAATAAGTGAAACTTCCTTTTGATTTCTCTTTTTACATCAAACATATGTGTATATATATATAAATATAACATTATATACGAAAAAATGATATACATGTATAATAGTACAGCAAACAATATGTTTAATATTGTATATAATCAATAAACAAAAGATATAATACAATATCTCTAAAATCGATAAAAATTTACTGTATAAAAAAAATAATTATAATCTGAAAATTTTAACAAGGACCGGTTTTAACATAATTTAAAATACTTCTTACTGTGTATTGTGGCTTTTCAACACCATTCACACACTGTTCTGTAATATGAACAGACAGTATGTTACTTCCTGGTATTTCAAACATAGGTTCCAAAAGCAACGATTCCATTATTGCTTGCAAACCACGCGCTCCCGTTTTTTTTTCCATTCCTAAACAGGCAATTGCACTTAATGCGTGTGGATCAAACGTTAGCTTCACCTGCATAAATTTCACATAATTCATTATAATTTATTATTAACTATAGTAATTAAAAACAAAATTCATTTTAACACTACTACGAAAATGTAATTAAGTCCACCTTGTCCATCAAGAACAGCGCCTGATACTGAGAAACGATGGCATTTTTCGGTTCTGTAAGAATTCTTACTAGCATATCCTTGTCAAGACTGTGCAAAGATACGAGCACAGAGAATCTGCCAATAAATTCAGGCAGCATGCCAAAGTTAATAAGATCTCTAAATTCCACTTGTTGTAGCATATCTTTCTCCTTAATATCCTTTTCGGTGGAAAGTGACATGTTGGTAATGTCTGGCAAAGTCGTTGCTTTCTTGTCCGGACTTTCGATCGTGGTTTTCGCATCAAATTCCGAATCTTTTCCCGACTTTCGTCGCGCTATCAATTTGTCTAAACCGCTGTAAGCGCCGGATGCAACAAAAAGAATATTTGTAGTATCCACTTGCAACATTTGCTCATCTTTTCTCGAACAATTTTTCTTTGGTATGTTCATAATCTTTCCTTCTATCATCTTTAACAATTCTTGCTGCACACCTTCTCCAGCCACGTCACGATTTTTTTCACGGATAACACATATCTTGTCGACTTCGTCCAAAAAGATGATGCCCACCTGAGCACGATCCACTATGTAGTCAGCATTCTGAAGGAGCTTAATTATAATACTATCGATGTCGTCACCGTAGTAACCGGATTGAGTGAGAGTGGTGCAATCACAGATCGTAAAAGGGACATCCAGGAAATCTGCTATTGTTCGCGCAAGTAACGTTTTACCAGAACCTGTAGGCCCGAGCAACATTATATTGCTCTTTGTTAACTCCAACCGATGCTTCTTGTTTAGTATAGCTGATTCAGAAGCTAACTGATCATTCTCCTTTCGCTCACTTTTCACATTGACTTCTGGAAACAGATTTTTGATGTCTGATATATGTAACAAGCAAAAACATTTTTACGATATTTGTATGAAATAATATATTTTTTTGCGAGAATAAATTAATGGAAATATTACTGTATTAGATTGCAATCTATTTCAATCATTAATTGTTATAAGACAATAAAACAATAAAAAAATTAAGCTCATTTTACAATATATTTTCGAATTTTGTGAAATTTAAATTATAATATAGATTACTAGTATAATATAGATTACGAATTATATAATATAGATTTTATTTCTTAACAATTCTATAACAATGGGGCATTGCTATCTTCATGGTTTAAGATCTCTACAAGTAAAGAGATGAATTGTTCCCCGTATGATGTTGACTGGATTACCATTAATTTGCGCCTGCGAGTTTTTAATTGACTGATTGTTGTAGATCCGTTTATAATGGTTGTAAACAGCAACACTCAACACCTTCTTTGCATGTTCCTGACCCACAACATGACTGTCGAGATACTCGCATATCTGAAAAGAACGCATTATTGCATATATTACATTTTTTCCTGTCCTGAAATTAAAAGGAATATATTTATAACATTTCTAATTGTATTTAGAAAAACAATTTTATTGTCATGTAAATTAAATAATCATGATTAAAATCAATTACTTCTGTTGGAGGTGGAAGTAGCTTCCTGTAGGATCCTTGTTCACTTTCTGTCTCAAGTGTCTTCTTTAAACTCATCTTCGAGTCACTTTCCAATACCACAACGAAGAAATATAATGGTAATTCTTGCACTTGAATCTCTAGACTTATTTGTTGAATTACTATAATTATTATTATGCATGTCAGTCATAAATATTCACAGGAAGCAAAAGTATATATCTAGTTTGAAGTGCTTTAGAGAGTAAAAATGCATAGATGTATCTATACAGGGATGTTATATTACTTTAGGGCAATTAGAAAACGTGATGTAAGGACTTACTATCCAAGGCGATTGTTCGAGAATCATCCAGTTAAAGATGCAGCCTATTCGTGTTTTGGTGTACGTTTTGTCCTGTTATTCATTGATTAGACATGGATATACGTTACTTATCTTCAAGTATCTCTACATTATCCACGTTAAAAGTCTGACTGCAGCCAGAGTTGGGAAATTTAACGCTTTGAGAGGTTCTTACATTTCCTACGTATAAAACGTGTATTATGAGGGTGGTTTGAAAAGTTCGTGCAAAGTCAGAGAGATGGTATCATTGGTCGCGTTCAGCAGACTCAACTGTTGTGGAGCGGATCCGTAAGCGCTCGTTGCTATTGGTGTATTCTTTTAGATCATCCAATAGCAGTGAGAGCTCACTGATCCGCTCCGCAACAGTTGAGTCTGCTGAACGCGACCAATATGCATCATGCACCATCATCGATAGCTTTGGCTTTATCAGGATCACACCGGATACCGGAAGAAGTGCCACGGTACAATCGGATGCACATCTATAAACAAATACCGAGCGCGGAACATTGTTGTTATTTGTGACACAAATGTCACACATGTTCAATTATTAATAAAAAAAATGAATGGCTTACGTATGTCCGGCTTTCGTAACACAATCAATCGCACAATAATTGATGATAATCTCTACCAACGGACTACGATGGACTACTTGATTTGTATAAAGGCGCGTTCGCTCGTTCGGTGAGGACGATGAGTGCGTTACAGGATGCCATCCCATGGTTGCCAGATCTCCGGTTTTCGGCCGGAAATTAGAGCCTTTTTAAACGAATCTTCGGTTCTCTGGCCGGTGTCATAGTCGATTCTTATTTTAAAACTATCTTGAGATTATCTTATGATGCTAATAAGGCTTTCCGTTTGATTCATGACATCGTAAGACCGTATTTAAAACGGTCTTAAATATCAGATTTGATTATGAATATAGGCGTCTTCTGGCTGACGGCACACATTTGACGATGCTTTCTTTACGTTTTTTGAAAGAATACATTACAGTAACAAATTAACAATTTTAGTTAGAAGTAGCAGACGATCTTCAGCAAGATAGATGAAATTTCTGATTTTTAAACCGGAGAAAACTGGCAACCGTGCCCAAGACGAGTATCCCTATAAGCGCATAATATTATTTAATATTTTAAGCATATTCTTAGAATATTAATTGTACATTTAATATTCTAAGAATATACTTAAAATATTCTTATATAAATAAAATATTAAATAATATTATGCGTTTATAGGGATTGTACGCGCGTATTCGCATATTGAAGATCCGATCAATCGCTGATATTCCGCCGTTTTAACGTCCTCGATTGGAACGTTAGCGATTGGTCGGATCTTCGATACGCCAATACGCGCGCGTATATTAGCGCTTGTCCTTGTTTTCAATAGCACTAAACAGACTTCTTCAAAGTAAAAGTTAAGACATCGAGTGATAATTTTTTTAATAATCTCCCTGTTTTTCTCAAAATTGTTGAATAATTTTATAACTTTTTAGAATATTTTCAGACTTATACAAATTGCAACATTTTTCAGTCTAGAGAAAGTTTACGTCTTTCCTATAATTTTTCATACATATGAATTTTCAAATATTTCTAAGATTTCTGATTCTATTAAGTCTCATAAAATTTGAAAAAAATTTATAAAATGTTTTTCTAGAAGTATAATATATAAAATGAGAGATCTTATAAATTTTGCAATATTTCGGAATTCACATTTGAAAAATTCTAGGAAAAGACGTAGAATTTTGCAGTATTTTTGACAAGTGTTCCAATTTGTAAATTTGTACAAATTATGAAAAAACTTTTTGCCAAAACTACTATATTATTTGCCTTTATTAAAAGATTGAATTTGTAATGAAGTTTCCGGGCGTATATATATTCTTTAATAATTTTAATAATTAAAATAAATGTGCATTTATAATTTTTATAACGTTAAAAATAAATTTGTTAAATATAGACGATATTTATAGATAGTACCTAATTTTTTCGACATAGCTATTCTCAGTATTATGAATACTTTCTACACTCAACGAAATGTACCTGTGTGACTTATGTGATTTCATTAGATATCGGTATACATGTTATAAATTGTTTAAGGTAAATAAATCAAAATATTATTTATTTACTACAGTTGCATGTTATAGATTTATTACAAATACAAGAATTACTATCTATAGGACATCAGATCACTGTGAAAGAATTAGGAAAAAATTCTATGCAAGTATATCTCTTCACTCCGTGTTATATTTTGCACAGCCTGGTTTTTTTTCTTTCTTCTTTTGAGTAATTTTAATCAGTAAGTAAATTAGCAGTAATTAGCGAGGATGTATATATTCTAGTATAATTCGCAATTTATACACATCTTCCTTTTCACTAATCTACTATACTATGTACAATATATTACACATAAACATTTCTATCTATCTTGTATTTTGACATAAAAATAATCTTTTTATATTGTTCTTCACTTTCTTCGTCTTTTCTTGTGTAATGGGCGTTCCTTCCATTATTAGAAAACCAAATACTAGCATTATGTTTATTAAAATTATTATGCTACAAAGATGTTCTTTTTTCTTAATTTTTCTTGAACAACGCGTAACAATAGCAATCTCTTTACAAACAATCCTGGTGTGACAATATACAAAAATTTATTATGAATGGTGACATTAAAATTTCTCTTTATTATATGGCTTTTTACAATTTCGTATTTAATCAATCGGAATTTTTGTTTCCAATTACTCAGTCCATTTAATTAATTTACATGTTCATGATGAAACAGTTTGCTTCACCGCACCAAATATAGCATTTAGATTGCTAAATTGAATTTAATGACGCTGATATAATTGAATGCGCATATATATTTTAATTTCTGTAATCTCTTTAACGATGTTATATTATTGGATATGAACGCATATTAACGCCGTTTTACTTTCGATGTTACCGTCAATAAATGCATGCAGGATGCAAAACTTGATTGGATGTGGAATGCTATGTATGATTTTTTGACTTTTCCTGCAATACGAATGAATTAAATGATACAAAATTTATTTACAATTTTTCCATTGTCAAGAATTAGGTCTTTATGTTTTCATTATTCTGACGTTTTCTATTTTTATGCGACACTTTTCTCTTGGAAAAGGCATTTCTAATGCATGTTCCAAATAGACAAACTGCAAGATATGTTACAATTTGCAATTTTATTCTTATTACAAAATCAAATAGTTATTAAATATATTGGCATTCACACGTCAATATTGTTGTCATTTGCAGCAGATAAAATTTCCAGATAAATTTGTTGGGAAGAAAAAATTTATATATATATATAATATATAGGAGAAACATGTATCTCTGAAATACATGCATATTCCTCTCTTTGATACATTAAACGATACATTATATATAATAGTGCAGCAAACAATATGTTCAACATTGTACATAATATAAAAAAATTAATAGAAATTTATCATAGCAAAATAAAACAATTAAAGTTTGACAGAAATATTCTAAATATGAAATATATACAGGACAGTTTGAAAACTATGTATGCGTTGTTCTCATATTAGTTTCTTTTTATACGAAATAATACATATAGAAGAATATATTATTAGTTCCTTTATAAGTTAATTAAAATAGCGACTTTTTTTGCGCGAATGTTCCAATTCAATTATTTGTCTACAAAAATTGTCCATCTACCGATAAGGAAACGGTTATACCAAAGTGTCGCATTCTTTAATTATTTGTTAATTATGTACATGCTGCGCCTGCTGAATGTCATCATCATTGCTATCGTCTCGTTTCACGTATTGTGGTTTTTCAACGCCTTTCACACACTGTTCTGTAATGTGAACGGACACTATGTCGCTTCCTGGTACTTCAAACATAGGTTCCAAAAGAAGCGATTCCATTATCGCTCGCAAACCTCGCGCTCCCGTTTTCCTTTCCATTGCTAAAGAGGCAATTGCATTCAGTGCGTGTATGTCGAACGTTAATTCCACCTGCGTAAAATAATTACAATTTAATTTGCTATTAACAACTAATGTGATTGAAAACGATTCATCTTGACTTTACTAAAAATGTAATAATTAAGCTTTACCTTATCCATCGAGAACAACATCTGATATTGAGGAATGATGGCATTCTTCGGTTCGGTAAGAATTCTCGCTAGCATATCTCTATCGAGTGTATGGAAAGGCACGAGAACAGGAAATCTGCCAACGAATTCAGGTATCATACCGAAGTCGATGAGATCTCTAGCTTCCACTTGTTGCAACAACATGTCCTTTTCCTTATTGTCTCTCTCGGTAGAAGGTGACATATTGGCGACATCGGCTAAAGTTGCCGCTCTCCTACCCGGACTTTCGACCGCGGGCGTCGCGCCAAATCCGAGATATTTTTCCGATTTGCGCCGTGCTATTAACCTGTCTAAACCGCTGTAAGCCCCCGACGCAACGAAAAGAATATTTGTAGTATCCACTTGCAACATTTCCCCACGCAATTTTCTCGAGCTATTTCTCTCCGGTACATTCACAATTGTTCCTTCCAACATCTTTAGCATTCCTTGCTGCACACCTTCCCCGCCCACGTCACGCAATTGATGAATTCCAGGAATAGCACCTATCTTGTCGACCTCGTCCAAGAACACGATGCCCATCTGAGCACGATCCACCACATAATTAGCATCCTGGAGAAGTTTAGCTATGACACTTTCAATGTCCTCGCCAACATAACCAGCTTGCGTAAGAGTGGTACAATCACAGATGGCAAATGGGACGTCCAGGCATTGCGCTATTGTTTGCGCGAGTAACGTTTTACCAGAGCCCGTAGGTCCAAGCAACAGTATATTGCTTTTTTCTAGTTTCAACTGATGTTGCTTGCTGTCTAGTATAGCTGATCCAGGAGCCGATTGACTGCTCGCCTTTTGCTCGTTTCCCGGATTGACTGTGTGCTGGAAGCCGACTCCTGGAAACGGATTTCCGAGGCCTGATATATGCAATAAGTCTGCAGCAAAAAAAAAAATATATTTTATGATAATCGTATATGAAATAATACATTTTTAATGAGGGAGCAAATTATGGAAATACTGCTACATTAGATTGCAATCTGCTTCAATCGCTGATGTAAGAATTCAATTAGTTTTAAAATATTCCAATTTTATGATACTTATTATAATAATAATCTAATTATAAAATATACAGATTGCTTTCATTTCTTAATAATTTATAAAATTGGGGCATTGTTTTCATTTACGTGGCTTAAGACCTCTATGAGTGAAGGGATGATTTGTCTCCTGTGTGCTAACTGGATTAACATTAGTTTGCGCCTGAGAGTTTTGAGCTGGCAGATTGTTGTAGATTCGCTTGTAGTGGTTGTAAACGGCAACACTCAGTACCTTCTTTGCATATTCCTGTCCTACTACGTGTCTGTTTAAATACTCAAATATCTGAAAATATCACATTATTATTGTACTATTTTTTCTTACTTCAAAGAAAATATGATCAAATATTTTTTATTTAGAAAAAAAATCTATGATTATAAATAAATTAAGTAAAATTAAATAATCATAATAAAAACCAATTACCTTTTTCGGAGGTGGAGGAGGTTTCCTGTAAAATCCCTGCTTACTATCTTCCGGCCTAAGTGCCTCTTTCAAGCTCCTCTTAGAATCAATTTCTGACAGCACAACGAAGAAATGATGGCACTTCTCGCACTTGACGAATCTCGTGGA